CCTCCAGGCCTGAAAGAGAGCAATGGCCTGTTCAGCAAGGTGGTCCAAGCTGGGCTCACAAAACCCATCCCAGAGAGCTTAGAAACCAGCAAAGGCAACTTCTGCTCTATCAACATGACACATATTCAAGCAAAAACACTGTGAAGTATAAAGAGTTCCCTGTGTAAAAATGGCATTAAATTACAGTGTATGGTCCAAGAAACTCTACACGGAGTTAGAAAAAGGGGATTAATTTGTTTAACAAACATTCATTGTATTTCTACCAGACTTCGGCCCCGGGGCCACATGCTGGAGACTGCTGGGGAGTGGAGGGAGTCTGTCATTTGGTGTAGTGGCTCTCAAATGTTAGTGTGGATAAGACTGTCTTTACAGACTGTTAAAAATGTATAACCGGGGCTAGGAAAATGGCTCAGTGGATAAAGTGCTTGCCACACAAGCGTGAGGACCTGAGTTTGAATCCTCAGCACTCAAGTGTGGTGACACAGGCCTGTAATCCTAGTACTACAGAGATGAGGACAAGAGAATCCCTAGGGCTCCCTGGCCTGCTAGTCTTCCTGAATCAGCAAGCTCTGGGTTTAGTGAGACACCTTGTCTTAAAAAGAAAGGTAGAGCCTGCATCAGCCTCTGACCTCCACATGCATGCACACATGAACACACGCATGCACACACACACACACACACACACACACACAAAGCACAACCCCCAAACTTCTGATTCCTTAGATAAGATTTGGCCTAAGGAATCTGCATTATAACCAGTTTCCATGCTGATTTTGATACAGCTGGTCTTGAAGTTGTATCGTGGAAAACCTTTACCTAGTAAGTTTTTAAGTTCTGATCAGCTGTGTAATCAAGTCACTTAAACTCAGAATGCCAGAAAACTGGAAGAAGTATGTGATTTGAAAGCCCTTCAGAGAACCTTAGGAAAGATTCTTGGAAAGGCTTCTATGGACCTATAGCACAACAGTAAGACAGAACAGCTTTCCAATCAGGAAAAATATACTGTCAGCAAGTGACTTAAAGGAGAGAGAAGCAGAGCAACAGGGTGTCTTTGGAAGAAGTGTGTGTGTGTGTGTGTGTGTGTGTGTGTGTGTGTGTGTGTGTATGTGTGTGTGTGTATGTGTGTGTGTGTAACAATCATCAAACTTGTATACCCAAGCTTCATGTACTTTACCATACAGGGATTTATGTGGAGCTCATACTGTAACTTTTTTTTTAATTAAGGAAGTATCAGACCAAAGTAGTTGAGGGCATTCCAGATGGAAGTCAAGGAACAAACTGGAACATTGGCTGAAAAGAAATCAGGAATAAGGGAGAAATTCAGATGCCCCTCATCAAGACAGCCTCAACAGCTAGAGACAGCTGGAAATGGGAGTTTTCAGGTGTGGGCATAGCTAAAGAATTCTGGTAACAAGAGAGAGAGAGAGAGAGAGAGAGAGAGAGAGAGAGAGAGAGAGACAGGAACAGCAGGAGAGAAGTAGCAGGTCCGGTGAAGTACACTTCTAATCCCAGCACTCAGGAGACAGGCAGGTCGATCTCTGTGGTCTGCATAGTGAGTTCTAGACTCATGGGGGCTACAGGAGACCCTATGTCAACAAAACGAAACAAAACAAAACAATCCTCGCACCCCTGCTCCCCACACACACGCACAAAAAAATTGGAAAAGAAGGAAGGAGGAGGGCCTGACCCTAGGAGGGTTTATAATCTGATGATTTTGAGCAAGTCATTTCAAGACCCAACCCTGCATGTGAATCTTTAAATGGGACTGGACCTGCAAAACCCACCATTAGGAATAAAAGATTAGTGTGTCTGAAATGTTATTTGTAAGCCTTAAAGAGCTGCCAAATACTGCTCAGAAGGAACTGTGAGTTCTGGCTCAGGGTTAGGCCCACTGCAAGAGTGCATAAAAACCAGGCCTGATGGGGCGCACCTTTACTCCCAGCACTTGGGAGGCAGAGGCAGGTAGATCTCTGTGAGATCGAAGCCTGGTCTACATAGCATGTTCCAGGGAAGCTGGGCTACAGAGAAACCCTGTCTCAAAAAACAAAACAACAAAACAACAACAAAAAAATGGAACATGTGTCCCAGCGCTATGCCCTAAGGCCTTGAGGACTGCCCCCACCCCGCCCAGCTCCTGTCTTCCCAGACCTGACCACCAAATCCGCAGGGGTTGCAGGAAGTCTTTCTTTTCTGTCCGATTCTGTTCTTCAACTCTGGATGCTGCTTTGTGCAGGCCTGAGAATGACAGTCCTCTTAGCACCCCCATCCCAGCTGTTCTCCCAGGGGCCCTCCCACCTTCTCAGAAGCAGAGCCAGCTGTTGTCACAGAAGCCACCTGCCTCTTCCCTGGCCTACAAGTCTCCAGTTCCAGAGGCCTCCAGGAAGCAAAGCAGCTTGCTGGAGGCCCTTGCAGGAAAAAAAGAAAATGAGACAGGCACTAAAATTAAATGGATTGACTACGAATGTTTTTTAATTAAAATTGTGATTCTTTTTAGGGACAGAAGAGGCCCTTTAAGAACAATTGTTCTCCCTAAGTGGCAGACATCAAGCTCCACAGCTATGCCCAGAGCAAAGGAGGGAAGGGAGGTGAGAGGGAGAGGTGATGGGTGAGTGTGCTCTCCCTTCTTAGGGAGAAGAAAGCCAAAGCAGGAAGTAGGGGAGTTGGAGGAGGGATCTGCTTGGTAACCTCCCAGGAGAGGAGGCCAAGCTTGTTGGGGACCCTGAAACTGATTTTGTGTTTTCTTTTGTTCTATAAGATTATGCCACCTTCTCCCTCCCTTGCTTACCCCCAGAGGGCCCCAGCCACCAGCTTTGACAATGCAGTCTGAGCCACCCACAGCCTCAGAAGAAAGATGGAATCCAGAAATGAGAGAGAGAGAGAGAGAGAGAGAGAGAGAGAGAAGAGGAGAGGAGAGGAGAGGAGAGGAGAGGAGAGTTGTGAGACCGCTTTGAAAAACAAAAGTGAACTGTGTGGGGGCTGCTGCTCTGAGGGCAGCCAAACCGGAGTCCAAGACGAGGACCCTACACCCGCAGTGCTCCAACTGGGTTCAAGGACTCTGCTGTCCACATGGACCCCCCACCTTTGGATGCTTCAAACTGGGGGTGTACACACAGCACATGAATTGGGGTCCAAGGGTTTGGCTTATGCCATTGTCAAGTAGCTGTGGGTCCAGTAGCAGCAACACCTACATGTGGGGATACCACCATATGGACCCACCACGGAACCACTGTGTCCATCAGCCTACATCTTCCTGGGCCACTCCTAGCTCCGCAGCAGCCCTGACTGCAGTATCTCCATCCGGTGCCACAGCCTATGTCCTCGAGATGGGAGAGGTCCTTTTTTGCAGGAATTAATATCTCGTTCATTTTCAGCCCTTAGAGTTTCTGTTTGGCAGCAGAGAGATTTAGTTCTAAGTCAGGAAAATGAAAATCTTGTCTGTCCAGGACCCTGGAATTGCACAAAATCTCAAATGCAGATGCAGCTGGAAAACTCTAGAAATGGATAGAGCATTAGGAGACAGGATAACATAGTATGGAGACAAGTTCCTAAGTCAAGAACTGTGTTCAGAGCAGAAAGGAAGGGCCAGCACACAATTTGGACAAACAAATAGAGAGCAAGACACTCAGAAAGATGGTTTGGTCACAGGCAGGCTTCTCTAGGGACCAAAATCCTCCCCAGAGCTCAGTCCCAGGCCCACCTTCCCCTGTGCACTGCTACCCTCTACCCAGAGAATCCCCATACATAAACTTATCTGCTGGGTTTTTCTTCGTTCTTCGATTTTTTGTGTGTGCTTTTTAAAAAATTCTTCAAATACAGGACAAACATAGACCTCATTTACCATCATAGATATATATTTCACTCTCACCACATAAATACAAAAACATCCAAATATCCAAAACATCCAGAACAAAGTTAGTAGCCAGGATTCAGTGACACCTCCCCGCGTTTGAACCGTTTCACTTTTTTTTTTCTTCACTATTCGCCTAAAAAAAAAGAAGAAGAAGAAAGAAAAGAAAAAGAAACGAAACGAAAAAGTAAAGGAAAAAAAGAAAAAGTAAAAAGCGTCCGACGTAAATAATTTACAATAAAGTTACTATTTCTTTTAATGTTTTGCACTCGCTTCGGATGGATGAATACATTCTAGACACTGCGGTACATGGAGCTCTGGGTCTGTGATTTTGGTTAAAATGCGGGAGGCGTGGTTGTGGGGGCTAAGGTTGTACCCCGGTGGTGGTGAGGGTTCTAACTCGGGACCACTGACACCCTGGGGTTGAGAAGGGAGACGCAAGGGGCCACTGGCACCAAGAGACTGGGAACCCCGAAGGCCAGACCGTCAGGCACCCCAACCTGTCCCTTGGAGAGCAACCGCCAGGAAATCCAGACGCTTCCAACGTGCGGAAAAAGCTTTATGATCAGAGTTTGAGAGAGGAAGCAGCGAGTGTTGGTTTACTTCCAAACCCCGAAATTCTAAAAACCTTAGCCTCGCATCAGGGAAACTGGGAGACTGTGGGGGAATCGCCCGCATCGAGGTGACTCCCACCACCACCGGCCACCCAGCTCTCTCTCCGGCTTGGCCACGGTCCTGAACAGTCCTAGAAAAAGATTCTGAATTTTCTTTCCTTGGTGTCATTGACTTTTTCTTTGCTTTTCCCCTTGAAGTACCTGCCTAAAGTCACCCTGACGGAGTCTCTGGTCTGGCCTGAATTTTCTTACACCTTGCAAACTTAATTACTATGAGTATTTAAAAACGGGCTACACTTCACCTGGTTTTATGTAGCAATTACTCTTTCTTTCTTGCTGTTTGATGAAATTTATTATCACTTTTGCCTAACAGGACTTTTGGGCTATCTTTTCTCAGGGTCGGGAGGCTCCGTTTCGAGTTTCCCTAAGGATAAAGCTGAGCTAGATCTGTTCAGGCTAGAAACTGAATGTCTACCAACCTTCCTGAGAGATCTGCAAAACTGTGCCAGCGACTCCCCAAAGCCCTGGTTTTTCTGGCAAGAAGAAGGAATACCCTTTTGGTCTAAAGAAACATAAAAGCTTTTTCAGCCTGGGGTGTGTGGGGGGGGAATCCTCATGTAGCTTTCCTCTTTCAAAAAATCGTCCTAATCAAACCTTAAGGCCCCAATCTAGAACAAATGTCCTGTGGTCTGGACTTAGAATCAGTCTTTTCCCTCTGGGGATGGCACGGACGGGGGCACAAGGTTGGCTAATTCAGGCATTTCCCCCCCAATTCTTTGGATCGGTCCTGGACTCAGAAAGAAGTTGGGGTTGGAGGAAGGGAGGAAAGGTAGAGGGAAAAGAACAAAAACAGCCCGAGTGAGATGAAGTTGTTAGCAGAGCCTGCTCGGGGAAGGAGAGCAGGCAGGCCTAGAGCGAGCCAGGAGGCCAGAGCAGGAGCCCTGGGCGCCTAAGGCGCTCGAGTTCATAAATACCACCACAATAGATACTATAAATATAAATACAGGGAAACACTTAAAATCAGTCCAGCGCTTTTTTCTCCGCCCCTTCTTTATTGTTGGTCCGGGAGTAAGGCTCGAAGGCCGAGGAGCTCAGGTACCGGGCGGAGAGTTCTTGCAAATTCCCGGCTAGGGAGCCAGCCATTGTCAACGGGGCGGAGGACAGGCGGCTGGCGACAGAGCCCAGCAGCGAGGGCACCGGCAGGCTGAAGAGGCCGTGGCTGGCGGCCGGTGCTCCAGCGTGCAGTCCCCCGGGCCCTGCAGGCCCCGGGCCGGGAGCGCCCCCCACGGCCGGCGGGTGCTGAGCTGCGGCGCCTGCGGGGCCCGGGGCGGTGGCGGCGGCGGCGGCCGAGCCCGCAGCAGCGCCCGCACCTAGGGCGGGAAGGCTGGGTCCGCGCAACGCTGAGCCGAGAGCGCCGGTGGCACAGGGAGGCAGTAGGGCTGGCAGGCCGGGCGGCGACAGCAGGCGGCCCTGTTCCAACAGCCGCAGCACGCTGCACGTGGCGGCCGTCTCCGACACCACCGAGCGCAGCTCCGAGTCCTTGCCCTGGTCTTTCTTCTGCTTGGTACGCCGGTTCTGGAACCAGACCTTCACCTGCGCACAGGGACGCGGGGGGTCAGGGTGGGGAGTGGGAGAGAGGAGCAGGAAAGACCAGTGTCAAAGGGAGCGGCCTGCAGGGCACCTGGACTACTGGGGGCCTTCCCCAACCCCAGCCCCACCCCGCAACCGAGCACCGGGACTCGGACGCTGCTGGGGAGGCTAGAGCCACCACGAGGGGGACACCACTCCACTTATGCTGTGTTTCCGGGTCATGCAATCAGGCCCAGGCCGGCGCGGGTTACAAAAAGAAAGTAATAAAAATGTCCACGACACAAACTCGAAGGAAGACAAGTGGATTTCACTGTGCAGTTGAGCTACCCATAGCACCCCCCCCCCGGGATCTGGGCTTCAAAGATAGTGAATCAGCTGGGCTTGAGAGCCTGAGGCCTGAGGGATGCTGCGCAGGACGCCAAGCCCAGAGGCTGCAGAGCAGTGTTTCTCGGCCTTCACAGACCCAGGTCTCTAGCCCAATGAGTTCAAATTTAGCCCCAGAAGAGCTAGGCCCCTTGAAGACTCCAAGAGACTGTTTCCTGCTTGTTGGGTTTAGGACTGATCATGAACCAGCAGTAGACGAGTATGTACAGGGTGAACTTTATAGGCCAAGCTTTCTCCACCTCCCTTCACCTCCAGCTGGATTGGAGGGTCTGCACTATACTCTTAATTTATCTCTCCCTCTGTGCTCCATCATGAACCTTGGAATCATGGGAGGAAGAGAGGAGGCTGGGGTAGATTACTCTCCAATCCCCTCCCCTCTCTCTGCTTCCTCTTTTCCTTCTGCCCCCTTTCTGGCCTAGACAGGAGGTCAGTGACTATAAGGAAAAGCCATCCTATTTAGATTCTGAAAACTAAAAGGAGTTAACAGAGACAAGAAAAAATACTATGCCAATTCAGAGTCAGGTTTTCCCATCTGTTCTGTCCTCAGTCCTTAGCACTCTGTCCAGAATTCAGACCTAAAATGCTCTCTACCTGCTTCAGGGCTGGGCATAGGGAAAAGAGACTGGTTTTAAGAAAGAGAAAAGCCAAGTCGATGGCACAACCTGGCCAGCCCTCAAACAGGGCAAAAACCATCAGTCCTACAGTGATTCTGGGCCCACAGCTCACATGGTCAGCTTGGAGGCAACATATGGACTTAATACTAAGGAGAAGACCTAAAATACAAAATACACAGTGGTTGGTGCTCACTCCCAGGCCTCCTTATCTGCTGCCCACACCATATACCTTACCACTGGCACATGGGACAGGCCTCTTAGGATCCCTGGGATGGATTATTTTTAAGAGTCAGGTAGTCAGATTTGCACAAGCAAGTCTCTGGTAGTTGGCACACCTTTCTAATCCTACTTCCTGCAGAACTGATCTGGGTGCTGGGTAAAGGTAGGAACCCCAAATGGGGATGTTAATGAGAAAAAGGCCAACATAGTGTGCCCCCCCCCAAAAAAACAACAAAAAAAGAACACACATATTTTATAAAGCCGAAGCCGTCCAAAAATTCTTAAGTCTAAGAATCAACAAGAATTCGAAAAGGACAAGATATGGCCCCACCGGGTAAGTCAAGGTGTGCTGAGCATAGACCGTGGAAAATTTGAAAATAAGGAGAGGAAATGACAGTTTAAGAAAAGGGAGAAAGACTTAGATCTTTCTTCCCCATCCGTTGCATCTCCTTTACCTCCTCTGGGAGGTTCGGTCCAAAGACAGGTTAGACTGTGAAAAAACAGGCTAGGGGTGGGTGGGAAGAGGGAGCCTGGGGCGGAAACGTGCGCAGCCTGGCCGATGGGTACCTGGGTCTCCGAGAGATTGAGCTGCCGAGCCAGCTCGGTCCTCTCGCGGCCCACCACGTATTGGCAGCGCTGGAACTCCATCTCCAGCCGGTAGAGCTGCTCCGCCGTGAAGGACGTGCGTGTCCTCTTCGGCCGGTCCAGGTCCAAGCCCTTGGGCAGGATGATCTCTCGGATGGACCCCTTGGCATCTAAGGAAGGGGAGATGTCAGCCACCAGAACCATCCGGTTTCCTCTGCCTCCTTGGCCAGAGCTAGCTTAAGGGGGCAGGGCTCCAGCAGGCTGTGGGTTGGGGGTGGCCTCGGCCAGGAAGTAAAGGCCTTGTGGGCATATGTGGGTAAAAGGGCTAACTTCGTTGGACCGAAGGGAGGAGAAAACAGACTTTGTCTTTGTAGAGCCCTCCAGACACCAGAGGAGAGAGAGAGAAAAAAATCAGTTCCAAATAGGTGGATGTTCCTTCCGGCCTAGGGGGCTGCGAGATCCCAGTTTCTACTAGCGGGAGGGTTCCCTAACGGATCAGCTCGGCTCCTACGGAGCCCCAAGCAGTGGAGCAGCCGGTCCCCAGCCCCACCCCCGGTCTGCTGCCCTCCGGAGCCGGGGGGCGGAAGAAGGAGGAACCGAATCCCGGCCAGCCAGGCCTGGCTATCTGCTGGCGGGGGCGGCGCTGGCCGGAGCCGGACCTTGAGGCCACCAATGCCCGGGAGGAGCGCACGCCGCGTCCCGAGCGAGGCCGAGCCAAGCAGGGAGTCGGGATCCGCAGCTCCGCGGTTTCTCCTGGCCGCAGTGGCCAGGCCCGGAGCGCAGCACCAGGGCCCGCAGCCCCGCTCGGTAACTGGCCCGGCCGTGGCCGGCGGTCGGCGGAAGCTCTTCGGCTCCGCGGGCTTCCTTGGGTGCGCTCTGCCCTCCAGGACGCAGAAGCCTAAGGGCCGGCTCTCCAGCAGGTCCTCCATCCCGTAGGAAGCTCACCGGTCTTCCCAAAAGTCCCGGGTCCGAGGCCGAAGCCTGATGGCCTGCGGGGTCCGCGCAGTGCCCGGGTTCCCTCCTGCAGCCTGGCCGCCGGGGCCCCTCGGAGCTTGGAGGGCCGAGGCCCCTGGAGAGCGCGCCCGGGGGAGCCCCAGGCTCTAGTCCCCAGCGGCCGGCGGGACCCGGGGACGCCAGGGCCAGCAACTTTCTCCTAAGTCCGCGCCGGCCCCGGGCAGTGGCGGCGCGCAGCTGGGGCCCAGGATCGCCCCCAAAAGAACGCTCCCCAAAGCCCTGCCCATCCCTACCTCGGACCAGGATCCGGCGGCAGTAATCCGGGTCGGCTGCGGAATTGGATTTACTTTTGTTACAATCTTCCGCAGCGCCAGACGCCGAAAAGGCGCCCTGCGGCTCCTTGAGGAAGGCGGCCGGAAGGTTCCCCTCGGCGCCCTTGATCTCCCGGCTCTCCTTGTGCGCGCTCTTGGAGACCCGGGCGGCATCGGTGTCCGAGTGGCATCGGACGTCCATTTTGTCTGGTTTCCCGAACATGGGCAAAAAAAACAACACAGAAAAGGGAGGGGAAAAGGAGAAAGAAAAGAAAAGAAAGAAAGAAAAAGAGGCAAAAGGGTTCAAACCCCTACAACGCAGCCCCTAAGCTGGGTCGCCGGCAAGAATGAATGTCCCGGCGGGGTGACTTCGGCGGCCGCGGGAGGGTCAGCGGCGACAGGAGAGTGGCGCGCTCGGAGACCGGCGGCGGGTCTGGTCCAGGATCCCAGCGCAGCAGCGGCGAGACCGCCTCGTCAGCGCCCGCGTCCTCTGAGCACGTCCAGTGTCCCCAGCCTGGCGATCAGGTGTAGCGAACAGCTCAACTCCGAAACGCTGCGGCTCCCGCCTGTTACTGAGACCCGCGTGTTGTAGTTGTCCGACACCCGGGGGGACGCGCACTTGCTGTTGCAATTGATTACGGGTAATTTCGCAGCCCCCACGTTTCGGTTACCTCATGAATACACTAAATTGTTTGGATAATATATCAGATCGTAATGGATGGTTTCTGTCCTTGTCCCCAATCAAGTAGGGGTTTAGCCAGTGAATAAACGGAAATGATTGGTCTTGCTTTCAGGAAACACAATCAAAGACCTACACTTCCAGAAAAACTTTTGACAAGATTCATCCTGAATTGTTAGCACCATTAGCAGGCATTATTAACTTTCTCTTTGCCTTTGACCCTCCTGCTCACATACTGGCTAGAGGGGGTTTCTCCACACTCGCCAGATAGAGCTTTGGGTGTGTGGGGGGGTTATGCCCCTCACAGTCCCTGCAGCACAGAAAAGCAGTTGCCTCTGGGTGGGGAGGAAAAGGGGGGAGGAGAAAAAGTTTCCCCCAAAAGTCTCTCCCCCACACTCCAAAAAAGCCAAGCTTTCTCCCCAAGCAAGTCCTTAACACACCTCCTCGCTGACAGCCATCTTAAACTGCCACCTTCTCCTTTTAGTCCTGGTTGGTTTTTTTTTCCATGCCTGCACCTCCAGCGGCCCTGAGCAGCCCATTCAAAGGGCAGCTTTGTACTCAGAGTCCAGCAAGAGGGGGAGGGGGAGAGAGAGAGAGAGAGAGAGAGAGAGAGAGAGAGAGAGAGAGAGAGAAAGAAACTTCAAAAAAAAAAAAAAAGTTTCCCCTAGCTATTTCATTGTCTCTGCTACAATATCTTTGAGAAAAGCAACAGCCAGTAATCCAATAAGAGCATTGATTAGGCTACAATGATTCAATTCAAGCGCATGGCCTTGTACAAGGAGCATGCTCCAGCCCCTCTCGTCACCTTGCCGGGGCAGAAGCCCTCTCCACGCCGCTCTCCCCATTCATTCCTTTATGGGAAATGCGGAGCAAAAGGAGTGAAAGATGGCAATTATCTAATTGGACTATTAACAAACAGTCCTCTGAGTGCGGCGGTCTGGCGTGGCTCCTGGGCGGGGGAAGGGCCGTGTTCCCGGCCCTCATTCACAAAGAGTGCAGGGGCCGCGGAGGAAAGGGGGTTTTTAAAAGGCAGTGGGGAGGGGGAGAGAGGAGAGGAGAGGTGGGAGGTTTGGCTGAGA